TTATGTACAGGAAGAGATGAAACAACAACAAGATTTCATTTATAGAGCGCCTTTCACGTCGGGAGGACGTCCCAAGGCGCTGGACAGTTGGGTCAGGACTCGAGCAGGGGGAAAATGGTCAGGGTGAGGGGAGGGAAGGGAGGGAGCGAGGAGGGGGTAGAGAGTCGAGAGGGGAGCTGAAGGCATGGTCGAAGAGAAAGGTTTTGAGACAAATAAGTAAAGGTCGTGAGCCCAATAAATTCCATTTGTCAAAATCACTTCAACAAGTCAAACAGGTCAAAACACTTGAGAAGAAGACACAGGAGGTTGGCAGCAATCCCATCTGATAGTTCGAGATAGGATTGAAATTTGAGCAGATTATTAGTTACTGAACTCTGAAATTGGATTACTGGCTCTCATGCTGTGCCAAACATCAGAATATTTTTTGGGGAAAAAAAACTTTGCTTCTTGGATGTAAGTCAGCCTGGTAGCACACACTAAGTCAGAAAGTTTTGGGTTCAAAGCACACATTGGGACTTTGAACTCATAGTCTCGGCTGACAACAACAACAAATTTACATTTGTAAAGCACCTTTCACGTCGGAAGGACGTCCCAAGGCACTGGACAGACAGAGCTACGGACCTGAGCTGGGGGTCGCTGGGGGGGGAGCAAGACCGTGGAGGGCTTTGAAGATGAGGACCAGGATCTTGAACTGTATCCTCTGCGTGATGGGAAGCCAGTGGAGTTGGGCAATGATGGGGGTGATAGGGTCATGGAGCCTGTGTTGGAGAGGACATGGGCTGCAGAGTTCTGGATGATCTGCAGCCTGTGGAGGGAGGAGTTGGGGAGGCCGACGAGCAGTGAGTTTGCATAGCCGAGCATTGATGTAATGAAGGCGTGTATGAGGGTTTGGAGGACTGCGGTGTGAGACAGTGTCGGAGCTGGGTGACATTGCGGAGGTGAGGGAAGGCAGAGCAAGTTATGGCACAGATGTGGGTAGAAAAGATAGTTGAGGGTCAAACAAGACCCCAAGGTTCCAGACTGACTTAGCAAGGAGGAGTGTGCAACCATGGATGGTGATGCTGTCAGCGCCTGAGGTGAGGAGGCGCTGACAGGAGCTAATCAGGAGAGCCTCGGTCTTGTCTGACGCTCCAGCACAATGTTGGGGGAGCGCTGCATTGTCGGAGGTGTCGAAATGCTACTTTTTCAGGTGAATATTAAACTCTCAAGGCACTATCCAAAAAGAGAAGAGAGTTTCTCCCAGGCCAATAATACCCCAAATAAAATTGGTCACTCGCTTTACTGTCTGTTTGTGGGACATTGCTGAGTGCAAATTACCTGCGGTGTTTGCCTACAAAATCCAAAGTCCCTACACTTTGTAGTAAACCCTGTGTCGTGCTACAAGAGATTATGGCTGCATGAAAAGGAACTGTATCAAATGCAGAGATTTTTTATCTACCATTGATATGAAAGTTGACAGCGAACTGCAAAATCTGCTGTAACCACAAAATGTAAACTGTTCACAAAGTAACCAGTTAAACAATGCTTATCTTATCCAAAGCGTCATAAATTATGGACGGCTACACTTTCAGCATTTCATTGGCTGGTTACCAGCTATTAGTTTCGCATTTGCTAGTTGTCAAGTGAGGTACATTGTGTAAAGTTGGTTACAGAAGAGCAGGTGAGGACACACACATCCAAATGATGAAGCAGACAGGTCCTTGGTTTAATGTCTCATCCAAAGGACGACACCGCCAACAATGCAGCGTTCCCCAGCAATGCACTGGTGTGTTTGCATGTGACATAAAGAATAATTATGTCATTATAATTATAATTAACATGGGGCTTAACATCTCAAAGCGCTTCTTCAAGACATCTCAAAGCGCTTCACAGAATGTACTGCAAAGTGAATTTATACCGTAAAGTGGATTGACCGTATTTTGTGGGCTAAACGCGGCAGTATCCCACAAACAGTCGTGGATTGAGTGATCAATTCTTTTTGAGGGATTATTACTACAGGAAAACAATCTGCCAATCAACCTGGGTTCCTACTTACTGCTAGGTAAACAGAGGCATGTGGAGTAAGGACACTTGCCTTTGGTTTCACCCTGCACAGGAATCAAACTCGGGTCCTCTTGCTTGTGAGGTGACCGTGCTAAACACTATGCTACGGGACTCCAGAAAGTTTAAAAGCAAGAAAGGCAACAAAGCAAGTAAGAGCTAAGTATTTACCATAGCACCTTAGAATGTTCCAATAGAAAGATTTGCGATGTTTATATTCAGTTTGCGCCAGGACAAAAAAATAATGTGTACGCATTGTGTACAGGAAGAGACCAAACAAATAAATAGAGGCCATGAGCCCCAATGAATTCTATTTGCCAAAATCACTTCAGCAAGTCAAACAAGTCAAAACACTAGAGAACAAGACGCAGGACGGTTGGCAGCAGTCCCATCTGATGGTTCAAGATAGCATTGAAATTTGAGCAGATTATTAGTTACCTGAACTCTGAGTTTGGTTTACTGACTCTCATCCTCTGCCACCCATTGGGATTATATTTTAAAAAAAGATCATCTTTGTGTTTTTGGATACATGCCAGCCTGGTAGCATTCTCATCTCTGAGTCAGAAAGCTCTGGGTTCAAACCACACGTCGGGCATTTGGTCTCATAGTCTAGGCTGATGCTCCAACGAGGTGTTGGGGGAACCCTGCATTGTCGGTGTTGCCAAGTCGCTGCCTGTTCAGAGTTTCTCCCGATGTGCATGCCAACAATCCCCCAAATAAAATTGGTCACTTTTATTTGCTGTTCGTGGGACATTGCTTAGTGCAAATTGCCTGCCACCTTTTTCCTACAAAATACACCGTCACTAGAGTAAACCCTGAGAAGAGCTATGAGAGATTATGGCTGCATGAAGAGGGGCTGTTTCATGTGCAAAGATTATCTATCTATCTATCTATCTATCTATCTATCTATCTATCTATCTATCTATCTATCTATCTATCTATCTATCTATCTATCTATCTATCTATCTATCTATCTATCTATCTATCTATCTATCTATCTATCTATCTATCTATCTATCTATCTATCTATCTATCTATCTATCTATCTATCTATCTATCTATCTATCTATCTATCTATCTATCTATCTATCTATCTATCTATCTATCTATCTATCTATCTATCTATCTATCTATCTATCTATCTATCTATCTATCTATCTATCTATCATTGATGTGAACGTTTGCAGCAAGCTGGAAAATCTGGTGTAACCACAAAATGTAAACTGGTCACAAAGTAACCAGTGAAACTAAACAATGCTTATTTTATCGAAAGCAGTCATAAATTATGGACGGCTACACTGTCAGCATTTCTTTGGCTGGTTACCAGCAACATTGTCAGTAAGCATTTGCGAGTTGTCAAGTGAGGTACATTGTATAACAACAACAACTTGCATTTACATAGCGCCTTTCATGCTTGGTAGCATCCCGTAGCACCTGGTATAATAATAATAATCCTTGCATTTGATATACCTTCGAGACATCCCAAAGCGCTTCGCAGAATATACTGTAAAGTGGATTGACTGCCTATTTTGTGGGCGGAAGCTGTATTTTGGGGGTGGGTGGGTGTCAGCGAGGACACCGGGAGAAACTCCTTTCTCTTCTTGAATAGCGCCGTGGGATCCTTAATGTCCTGAACGAGTAGACGGGAAGCACGATGACGGGCACGTGTCAGCTACACGACTCACCAGAGAGTGAGAGAGAGAGAATTTGCGGGTTGTGGAGTGAAGCGCAGGATGTCCACAAAGCCCTCTTAAACCTCCCCCCCCCCGTTAAAAAGCAGCAATATGGAGGCAACGGAAGAGCTGAAACCATCTGTCAGAGATGCATTTCGTCTCATCATTCCATCCATGTGACGGAAGATGTCACACCGAGCATTGCGACTGATCATTATCATGAAGACAATGTGGACTCCCATAGCAGAGTGGTAGAACACTCGCCTCGCAAGCGAACGAACCCGAGTTCGATACCGGGCAGGGAAAACCTCAGTCAAGTTTCCTTATCCCACAGGCCTCTGTTTACCCAGCAATAAGTCGGAACCTGGTTGTTAGTTGATTGGCGATTTCTTTCGGGAGTAATAATCCCTCTAATAATAATTGCTGTGTGCTGTTCGAATTCCACCTATAGAAAAATATAGGGTGAAACCTTGGGCAAGTTTCCTTACTCCACACTCCTGATAATAATCCATCAAAAAAATAATAAATTGATCATTTCAATCCACGGCTGTTTGTGGGACACTGCTGTGCGCAATTGGCTGCTGCATTTCGCCCACAAATATACAGTCGATTCACATTACGGTCTATTCTGTGAAGCGCTTTGAGACGTCGAGAAGACGTGAAAAGCGCTATATCAAATGCAAGGATTATTATTATACAGTCAATTCGCTTTACAGTATCATCTGTGAATGGCTTTGAGACGTCTCGAAGATGTGATCAAGTGCAAATGCAAGGATTACTATCATTATGTATCAATTGTTGACCAATTCAATGTGGGGGTGCGGCTGGGGGGGGGGGGGGGGGTGCGAGGGGACATGAGAGGGGGTGTGGGGAAGGGGGTAACCAGACTTTGTGGACACCCTGGACATTGTGTTGCCTCTCGGTAACTCAGAACCTTGTCTGAAAGGAGTCGCGTGTGTGTGCGTGCGTGTGTTTGCTGAAGGGGAATTAACGATGGACAGCACGACTGACCAATGGTAGTATTAAGTAGAGTGGTTGGTGGTGGAGAGGGGGGGGGGGGAGGGCGGTGCATCCGGCTTCTCCCCCACTTTCCACCCCCCCCCACTCCCCATTCTTACACACACTGCTGTGCACAAGGAGCCTGGTGGAAGCAGCGTTGTGTGCGTACGAGACAGACTGAGATACTGAAGGCTCAGACAAGCTCCCACCCCCCACCCCACCGAAGAGAACATGGACGTGGACATACCCGCTGCTGGCTAACCCCCATCCTCCCTCACCCCCCCCCTCCCTCCCTCCCTGTGGAAGGTAATCATCAGAGCCTTGTCTCGATCAAAAAAAAAGAGTTCGTCTCTTAACACGAGAAAAGTTTTGTTTGGAGGAGAAAAAAATCTCAGCTTTTCACTCTCTTTCTCTCTCTGGTTTAGCTATTAGCCACTGGGTGTCTGTGTATGTGTGGGGGGTGGGGGGGTGTCTGTGTATGTGTGTGGGGGGTGGGGGGTGTCTGTGTATGTGTGGGGGGGGTGTTGGGGGTGTCTGTGTATGTGTGGGGGGGTGGTTGGGGGGTGTCTGTGTATGTGTGGGGGGGGTGGGTGTGTCTGTGTATGTGTGGGGGGGGTGTTGGGGGTGTCTGTGTATGTGTGGGGGGTGGTTGGGGGTGTCTGTATGTGTCGGGGGTGTCTGTGTTTGTGTGGGGGGTGGGGTTGTCTGTGTATGTGTGGGGGGGGTGGGGGGTGTCTGTGTTTGTGTGGGGGTGGGGTTGTCTGTGTGTGTGGGGGGGGGGGTGTCTGTGTATGTGTGGGGGGTGTTGGGGGGGTGTCTGTGTATGTGTGGGGGGTGGTTGGGGTGTCTGTATGTGTCGGGGGTGTCTGTGTTTGTGTGGGGGTGGGTTGTCTGTGTGTGTGTGGGGGGGTGGGGGGTGTCTGTGTTTGTGTGGGGGGTGGGGTTGTCTGTGTGTGGGGGTGGGGGTGTCTGTGTATGTGTCTGTGTGTGGGGGGTGTCTGTGTATGAGGGGTGTGTCTGTGTATGAGGGGGGTGTCTGTGTATGGAGGGTGTCTGTGTATGTGTGGGGGTGGGGGGTCTATGTATGTGTGGGGGTGTCTGTGTATATGTGGGGGGTGTCTGTGTATGTGTGGGGGTGTCTGTGTATGTGTGGGGTGGGGGTGTCTGTGTATGTGTGGGGGTGTCTGTGTATGTGTGGGGGGTGTCTGTGTATGTGTGGGGGGTGTCTGTGTATGTGTGGGGGGGGGGGGGGTGTCTGTGTATGTGTGTGGGGGGGGGGTGGGGTGTCTGTGTATGTGTGGTGGGTGTCTGTGTATGTGTGGGGGGGGTGGGGGTGTCTGTGTATGTGTGTGGGGGGTGGGGCGTGTCTGTGTATGTGTGGGGGGGGGTGGGGGTATCTGTGTATGTGTGTGGGGGGGTGGGGGTGTCTGTGTATGTGTGTGGGGGGGTGGGGGTGTCTGTGTATGTGTGTGGGGGGGGGGGGTGTCTGTGTATGTGTGTGGGGGGTGGGGGCTGTCTGTGTATGTGTGGGGGGGTGGGGGGTGTCTGTGTATGTGTGGGGGGTGGGGGTGTCTGTGTATGTGTGTGTGTTGAGGGTTAGTCTATGTATTTGTATGGGAGGGGGTGGTCTGTGTATGTGTGTGGGGGTGGAGTGTGTGTGTGTGGGGGGGAGTGTGTGTGTGTGGGGTGTGTGGTGGGGAGTGTGTGTGGGGGGTGGGGAGAGAGAGAGTGTGGGGGTGAGGGGGTGGGGAGAGTGTGTGTGGGGGGGAGAGTGTGTGGGGGGACAGTGTGTGGGGTGGGGGCGGGAGAGTGTGTGTGTGGGGAGAGAGTGTGGGGGCGGGGAGGAGTGTGTGTGGGGTGGGGGGGGAGAGTGTGTGTGGTGTGGGGGGAGAGTGTGTGTGGGGGGGAGAGTGTGTGTGGTGGGGGGAGAGTGTGTGTGGGTGGGTGGGGGGTGTCTGTGTATGTGTGGGGTGGTGGGGGTGTCTGTGTATGTGTGTGGGGGGGGTGGGGGGTGTCTGTGTATGTGTGTGGGGGGTGTCTGTGTGTGTGTGTGGGGGGTGGGGGGTGTCTGTGTATGTGTGTGGGGGGTGGGGGCTGTCTGTGTATGTGTGTGGGGGGTGGGGGTGTCTGTGTATGTGTGGGGGGGGGTGGGGTGGGGGTGTATGTGTGGGGGGGTGGGGGTGTCTGTGTATGTGTGTGTGGGGGGTGGGGGGTCTGTGTATGTGTGTGGGGGGTGGGGGGTGTCTGTATGTGTGTGGGGGGTGGGGGGTATCTGTGTATGTGTGGGGGTGTCTGTGTATGTGTGGGGGGGGGTGGGGGTGTCTGTGTATGTGTGTGGGGGGGGGGTGTCTGTGTATGTGTGGGGGGTGGGGTGTCTGTGTATGTGTGGGGGGGGGTGGGGGGTATCTGTGTATGTGTGTGGGGGGGTGGGGGGTGTCTGTGTATGTGTGTGGGGGGTGGGGGGTGTCTGTGTATGTGTGTGGGGGGTGGGGGTGTCTGTGTGTGTGTGTGGGGGGAGTGTCTGTGTATGTGTGTGGGGGTTGGGGGGTATCTGTGTATGTGTGGGGGGGAGTGTGTGTGTGTGGGGGGGAGAGTGTGTGTGTGTGGGGGGGGAGTGTGTGGGGGGGGGGGAGAGTGTGTGTGTGTGGGGGGGAGTGTGTGTGTGTGGGGGGGGGAGTGTGTGTGTTGGGGGGGGAGTGTGTGTGGGGGGGAGAGAGTGTGGGTGGGGTGAGAGAGAGTGTGGGGGGAGGGGGTGGGAGAGTGTGTGTGTGGGGGGGAGTGTGTGGGGGGTGTGGAGTGTGTGTGTGTGTGGGGGAGAGTGTGTGTGTGTGGGGGGGGGGGTTTCTTAGTGTGTGTGTGGGGGGGGGAGTGTGTGTGGGGGGAGAGTGTGTGTGTGTGGGGGGGGGGGGAGTGTGTGTGTGGGGGGGGAGTGTGTGTGTGGGGGGGGAGTGTGTGTGGGGGGGGGGAGTGTGTGTGTGTGGGGGGGGCAGTGTGTGTGTGGGGGGGGGAGTGTGTGTGTGGGGGGGGGAGTGTGTGTGTGTGGGGGGGGAGTGTGTGTGTGGGGGGAGTGTGTGTGGGGGGGAGAGAGTGTGTGTGGGGGGGAGAGAGTGTGTGTGGGGGGAGAGTGTGTGTGTGTGGGGGGAGAGTGTGTGTGTGGGGGGGGAGAGTGTGTGTGTGTGGGGGGGAGAGTGTGTGTGGGGGGAGAGTGTGTGGGGGGGAGAGTGTGTGTGTGTGTGCGGGGGAGAGTGTGTGTGTGGGGGGGAGAGTGTGTGTGGGGGGGGGGAGAGTGTGTGTGGGGGGAGAGTGTGTGTGTGTGTGTGAGGGGGAGAGTGTGTGTGGGGGGGGGAGAGTGTGTGTGTGGGGGGAGAGTGTGTGTGGAGGGGGGGAGAGTGTGTGTGGGGGGGAGAGTGTGTGTGTGTGTGTGGGGGAGAGTGTGTGTGTGTGGGAGGGGGAGAGTGTGTGTGGAGGGTGGGGGTGGGCGCGTGTGTGGGGCGGTGTGGGGGGGGGAGAGTGTGGGGGGGAGAGTGTGTGTGTGGGGGGAGAGTGTGTGGGGGAGTGTGTGTGTGGGGGGGAGAGTGTGTGTGTGGTGTGGGGGGGGGAGTGTGTGTGTGTGTGGGGGGGAGGTGTGTGTGTGGGGGGGAGAGTGTGTGTGGGGGGGAGAGTGTGTGTGTGGGGGGAGAGTGTGTGTGGTGGGGGGTGAGGAGAGTGTGTGTGGTGGGGGGAGAGTGTGTGTGGGGGGAGAGTGTGTGGGTGAGGGGGAGAGTGTGTGTGGGTGGGGGGGGGAGAGTGTGGGGGTGGGGGGGGTAGAGAGTGTGGTGGTGGGGAGAGGTGTGTGTGTGGGGGGGGAGAATGTGTGTGTGGGGGGGTGAGAGTGTGTGTGGGGGGGGGAAGGAGTGTGTGGGGGGGAAGGAGAGTGTGGGGGGGGGGGAGAGTGTGGGGTGGGGAGAGTGTGGGGGTGGGGAGAGTGTGTGTGTGGGGGGAGTGTGTGTGTGGGGGGAGTGTGTGTGTGGGGGGGAGAGTGTGTGTGGAGGGGTGGGGGTGGGCGCGTGTGTGGGGGCGGTGTGTGTGGGGGGAGAGGAAATATCTGTGTTTATTCAAATCAAATTCAACATTGTACAGATGTGGGCTCTCCCCCTCTCCCCCACCCCCACCCTCGGCATTTCCAGAGCCAAAATAATGGTCTCTAAACTGTTTAATTATTTGCTTTTCAATCCCATTGCTTATCTAACTCGGCCTTACTTAGTTCTCCTCATTATTCCGGTTCTGATTTATTCCACGGAATCGCTGGATATATTTCTTCCCTCTCCCCTGTCCTGCTCCGCACCTAGTTTTTTTTTTGCCGTGGGAGTTTTGCTTTTCGGTGGAGGCGGAGGGAGGGAAGGGGGAGGGAGGGAGGCAGATGTAAGATGTGCTTCAAACACTTAATTACAAGCAATCATTTTTTTATAGCGGCTCAGATTCCTTAGTTCACTCCGTTTCTACTGGGCTCTGCACCGTTTGGCATTCGCCAGACGAACAAGCGTTTAAGATAATTATACGTTGCCGTGAACAGTGCACTTCTTCTTTCCCAAGCTCAGAACACTGTACGGCTTGAGTTTAGTTCAACAATAATAGCTTTATATCAATTAAGCAGAGCTGAAAGTCTCTTCCTCCTCCCTCCCTCCCTCCCTCTCACTAACCATATTTGCTTTCAAGTCGCTTTGCGGTAAAAAAGGATTTCACTCTCAGCTCGAGGTTCAGATTTTTGGTTTCGGACTCGTACAAAGTCACGACGCTGTTTGTTATTATATCTTCAATTTCTACGCTGTTGAACTTCATTTTCGATGCGCGCAGAGGATTGCGTGTCAGGGTATAATTTGACAGCCAGGTGTGTTTTTTTTTAAACAATTAAAAAAAAACATAAAACAGAATCTTTTGTCTCTTTGCCCACACCGTGGCTTTGACCATTTTTGCAGGGGAGGTCTAATTTACTGTTGCATTGCTTTCCTGGTGTGTTTGTTGGGCTGCCTTTTAAGTTGTGGGTTCCGGAGTACTGTATTTTAATTTTTGGAGCATCGTGGGTGTGCGTAAGACTGTGCTTTCCTGAAATTAACATCACCATCATTTTGGTGAATAATCTTTCTGTAGCAGATGGTGCCAGGAAGGGTGTTTTTTTTNCTCTAAATTGGAAGTGGCTCTCTCAGCTTTTGTTTATTTTATGTTGCTCTTCATTGTGGAGCAATATTAAAAATGATAACAATCCTTGCGTCTTTCACGTCAGCGAGACGTCAGCGAGACACAGCGAGACGTCAGCGAGACACAGCGAG